AGAAGTTGCAGTAGTAGAAGGGGCCACGAATAGCTCTCTGGGGTAAGTTTTAATACCGTTCGTGAACAACTGTCATGATTATCAGTAACTATAGTTGTAGACCAAGTACAATTATACTAGTTACTGATACTAATGACAACTGTCATGAGTATCAGTAACTATAATTGTAACCCATGTCCTCATTACCTCATGAAATCCCATACGAAAGCAAAGCAGCAACCTTCATCCCGGGCAAACAAATAACCGCTGAAATATTTTCCCTATGGGGACACTTCCATGAAATCAGTAAGAAGCATGAAGTGTCTGTGTTCCGGAGCACCAGCGCCATCACAGGAATTTAAGTGTGTCCAGAAGACACACATTCTAGCAAGCATGTAAAGGCGAGATAAAGAGAGAGGTAGAGAGATCGTGCTGGTCCATTGTTCTCTGTTAACACGCCTTGTGTGAACTTCGAAGACCTCCTACCTCGGCGGGGTTAAACGTATCACAATGCGGATTGGTCACACTCACAGCTGGCATCGCTGCTCGATACTACCAGCGCAAACTTTATGATCAAAATTAACCTGAGTGATGAATACTGCACAAAAGAATCCTGCGTGGGCCTGAGGACGATCAAGTTGCCTAGGCCGAGGTGATGTCTGGAAATGCATTCCTGAATAGATGAAGTGTAGTGCCAGTAATACAAACAATTTAGTTTCTCCATTGGGGCAAGAAATTTTGACGATGTAATATCTTGATTTTTGCAGAGCTTGATCAGTTCGAAAAATTTTGATGGAGAGTGATAATAACAAAGGATTTTAAAAATTGTCTATTTTCGGAAATCAGGAAGAAATATGTTGTGTATTATAAACAGTAAAGCTTATTTGATAGCACGATTCGATCGTTATTCGTTAAGCAATAATTGTCTCTAAATAGACCGCGTTCCATGATGATCTTCTCCCCAATTATAGCCGCATGCCGAGGCTGCTCAGGTAGAGATGACTTTGAAAAACACGTTGCCACATCCAATGTGGTCAATGTTCATAATCAAAGCGACATTGTCAACATATTTTCAATAATGTATTGAAATTAATCTATAGTTTAAGTATGAAGAAATGCTTCAAAAAGTTATGAAATCTTAATTGAAAAAGTTTCGGGTTCATTTCCATCGTCGGTTTAACGATCATATAATACAAGTACATGAATACAGATTGTATTTTCTTCTAGAATTTTCTAGCTAAAAATTGAGCTGGATTCCGATAAGTTTTCCTTCAAACTATATTTTGTGGTCTCTTCTCTGCTTTAAAATTTTTTGTTGAGATTGTTTAATTGCCTAGCCTCCTGAATGTTCGGGTGAGGTCTGGTTTCTGCTGATATACGCGGGCGATAGAATTCGAAATATATAATTCCGGTTATACTTTCTCTATTGAAATGTCCATGAAACGCTTAAATTTTTCTGGCTCAAATTATTTTAATGTAAATAATAAATGCATAGAAAACAAAAACAAAAATATCGCTTGTTTAAATTAGGGAATGCAGAATCAACCCCACATAAAATCTATCAACTGCTTGCGCGATGAGTCATGCACAGTAACAGGGGTAACTAATGTAATGTGGTAGTGTTCCAATATAGAAGATATTGGTATAATAGAGCATAGTGGAGCATAGTGGCAAACTTGGCGTATAGTAGAGCAAAGTGTCAACTTGGAGCATAGTGGAGCATTGTGTCAAACTTGGAGCATAGTGTGAAACTTGGAGCAAAGTGGAGCATAGTGTGAAACTTGGGGCACAGTGGAGCATTGTGTGAAACTTGGAGCATAGTGGAGCATTGTGTGAAACTTGGAGCATAGTGGAGCATGGTGTCAAACTTGGAGCATATTGTGAAACTTGGAGCATACTGTGAAACATGGAGCAAAGTGTGAAACTTGGAGCATAGTGGAGCATAGTGTGGAACTTGGAGCATAGTGTGAAACTTGGAGCATAGTGTGAAACTTGGAGAATAGTGGAGCATAGTGTCAAACTTGGAGCATAGTGGAGCATAGTGTGGAACTTGGAGCATAGTGTGAAACTTGGAGCATAGTGTGAAACTTGGAGAATAGTGGAGCATAGTGTCAAACTTGGAGCATAGTGTGGAACTTGGAGCATAGTGTGAAACTTGGAGAATAGTGGAGCATTGTGTCAAACTTGGAGCATAGTGTAAAACTTGGAGCATAGTGTGAAACTTGGAGCAAAGTGGAGCATAGTGTGAAACTTGGAACATAGTTGAGCATAGTGGAGCATAGTGGAGCATAGTGGAGCATATTGGAGCATAGTGGAGCATAGTGGAGTATAGTGGAGCATAGTGTGAAACTTGGAGCATAGTGTCAAATATGGAACATAGTGGAGCATATCTAAGAACATAGAACACATAGATATGGCGAATGTCAAAGATAAACCATAATATATATAACCTACATAGATACGCTAGGCGACTCCTAGTTATCATAGAATTTTAGTTGCACCGGATACAACAAGTTCTGTATTATGCCATATATTCAGACACAATAGGTAGAATGATGTCTGTCACAATAGTTATGAAGCGTATAAGTCACTATCAGTGATGCAATGGTTATACAGTATAGTCATAACATAGTGCCAACTAGTAGCTAGATTAAACAATTCTGCAAATGAATCGTGAATTTCATTTCGTTCTGAACATCATTAATTTTTGTACATTGATCGAAAATAACGTCTACAGGAAGGCGGGGATCTTAATTCAGAGCAAAAAAGCAAAATCTTAATTTTGCTTTTGCAAACTCAAGCAAAATCTTAATTCCTTTCTTATTAATTTTCATTATAATTTATTGCTTATAAATATAGTTGCTACAGCTACACGCTCATCGCGTTAGCGTATGTTGTAGTTACCCGCATTCACGCTGACCTTCGCCGCATACGCGAGCGGAAGATCAAAGCAAATTGCGGAGCGCCGATGCTTTCAGACCCGAAACCTGAAATTCCGGGCACTGATGCCGGCCGGCCAGTGATCCTACAACAGGAATTTCATAAAGCCAATGATATCTGGAATGCGGTAGATGTGGCCATTCCTGCTGCACATGTGCCCATTCCTGGTGCGCTTGCGTTGAGACCACAGCGGGTGGGCGGGTATTGTTAGTGCTTGTGTATTGACCATTATTGAGCTTCTGGCTGAAGATAATTGATTAGATTGATTAGTCAAGGAATATTAAATAGCTATTAGTTAAGAATGTTGGAGAATAGGAGCGAAAGTATATTAGATTGATCGCTGTTGAAATATTTTTTAAAACGGGAAAATTCAAGGGTAACAGGAAATGCAATGATGATGTTTCATGTCTTTTATGAATTAATTTCAGCTTTTTAAATAATTTTTAGATTAACAAAAAAATTAGCGATTGAAATTCGGTGCGTCGATTCGGTGAGGCCGATTTATTAAGCAGTGACAATGCATAACACAGCAGTTATAGGAGCAAGCAGCATACCACAGCAGCAGCACCAAGAGCAGCAATAGCAGCATGCAGCATCTCCTTCCACTTATACGCCGGCGCAGTGCAGGAATCTCCTTCCACTTATACGCCGGCGCAGTGCAGGAATCTTCTTCCACTTATACGCCGGCGCATGGTCGGCGTCTGGCGGTAATACGAGCCGCTTCTTCGCTGTCCAGAGCTGCGCTGCCGCGCAATGCATCCTGTGACGCAATGTCTGCATTGAGAAAAATTACTGGATATATTGTCCAAATTGTGACACACTTTCTGACGTAGCACTGATACGCTCTTCTGCCGTGCCGGGTCAGGATGTTCTACTCAAAGCCCCAAGTGCATCGGAATTTGGACAATGTCGCAGTCATTTCCCTGAGTGAAGGATGGCCAGCCTAACGTCTTGAATGGCTTCCAACAAACCGATGATTAGATTAAAGCAATTTTGGTGGTTAAAATATCTTTTTGAGATTACAAATTACAAAAAGATGTGATTTTGGTCTATTGGTGTCACATTCCATCGGTCGAAATTGTTCGCTCAAATTGTGTACTAGAGAATAAATACTTATCCCGTGTTTGCAGAGTGCCCCATTAATGATATTTAGATGAAATCTTGCCAGAATAAATAACTGAAATAGTGTCATCAATAAATTAAATCCACTTAACGTCATATCTCTCTATCCTATCAATAATAAAGTCAAACTAAACTTCTTATCCACAATGTTTAGAACTTTGAAATGGACCGAAAAGAATTTGTGTTCCTGCCTTATCTAAGTATCGGAATAAATTTTCCCGAGAATTTAGACTAGATCGTCGCACGCTGAATTCGAGACATGCGCAGACATCAAATGAAATGCAAGGATAAACTGAAACATTTTGCGACACAAACATTTGAAACAAATGAAACATTTTGCAACGTGAAACATTTTGCGACTCAGCCGGGCAGCAGAGCGAGATCTCTGAGCATGCAGGGACTTACTGACTCTAAGTATGAACATCACGAATAATGCCACTACATGATCACTGGGTTGCGGGTCCGTAGACTTCAGCGGCCGTCAAAAATCAATATTCAGTGTTTCGTACGTCAGGCCGAGGACTCTTCAAGGATTTTACTGAACAACAATAGTAAAGGCAGCATAAATTGATGGATGGGTACATATTGATACCTTTGAATGCCGGCAGAGTTGGATGTGGGCTTTGAGCAAGGGGCGGCCCTCCAGAACGCCCCCTTTCCCACTTCTCCAATGAGAACGCCGCCTATAGGCTTGCAACCAATGGGCGAAAGGGCTCAATTCCCTCGCAAACCACCCAGTAGAGAATCACACACGCTCACACAGCCCACATATTACCTTTACACATTTTGCTAAAACTTGTGTTTGTATTGCGTGTGTGTCTCTGTGTGTTGTGAGTGAGAGAGAGAGAGAGGGAGGAAGGGAGGGCTAGTGCGAGGGTGGCGAGGGAGGCGGTGAGCTAGAGCGCTCCAAGATAGACCAGGCGACGTGGTCGGGTCACTCTAGCGCCGTTTGTCGTCGTGTAAGCTTTTCGGCGGGACCTTCTAGCGATCGTTGCACGCCGACCGCAGCTGCCGACCTGATACGGACATCTCATACACACGATCTTCGATGCCACTAGAGCTGTGTTCATGTTTCGGTATTCTTGTCCAAGGCTTTAAGAAAATATTTTGTAGCAAACGTGAGTTGAGAATTTCAAGAAGGTTTGACGTCCCGTTGGCTTTCACCGACTAGATTTCGAGGCAGAGACTCGTCTTCAGATGCGTCTCGTGGCGTCCGGTGATCTCGCGGGATAATGTGGCGCGCAGCCTCGGTGAGATGATGCGCGAATGCTAAGTGAAACCAGTGACAGTTTTCATCAGGTGCAGTGAACTGATTATATAAAAAGACGGGAGATATTCGAGGTGTGTTGTATCGTCGATTGGTTTGCATCACACAAGTTGGCACTGTTGTGGCACTGCAGTCATTTTTCATCGACAATTTTTTTAATTTACATTAAATCGTGATAAAGATTTTCCCTGTGTATAGACTTGACCGTTTTCCTTCAATATTCATTTATAAAACTTATTGAAAATGTATAATTTTGTTTTACAGTTGTGAGTTAAGATTATTATTCACAGAACCAAGAACTAATTGAAACCGGTTTTGACTGTAACGAAATTGTCGAAAGTTAGTTTCCTTGAGAAATTTCCGTTCGAGTAATAAAGATTTGATGAAAATTGTGGTGATCAGTTGCTTTTGATCACTTGTGGTCAAACTGATCGAATTTTTTTCACATCCTGTAAGATCGTAAAATTTTACGAAATAAGCGTAATTTTGCAATCTGTCCAACAATGGATGAAACGCACAATGGGGAAACGGACGGTCTGTCCGTGAGGTCCCCAGGGTCCCTGGGATGTCGGTCCCCGCCTTCCCTATCCCCAGCGATGCCCATGACTACACCACCAACATCCACCAGCCCACCGCCCCCGCCGCTCGTGTCGGCACCTTCTTTTCACAGTAATTCAACAGGAATTTCACCCAGCGGACATCCATCACCCCCTGTCTTCCCATCTCCTCCTCCCACATCCCGTCCTCCCCACTTCCTCCCACCTTTTTATTTCCCCCATTATGCATCCCCTCCTCCCCCTCCCATCCACACGTCCGACCCCACCGCAAACGAATGCAAACTCCTCGATTATCGAAACCAGAAAGTCGCAGCCTTCGTCATCAATGGCGAGACGATGCTATGCTTGCCTCAAGCCTTCGAGCTTTTCTTGAAGAACCTGGTTGGGGGTCTACACACGGTCTATACCAAGCTTAAAAGACTGGGGATTGAACCGCTGGTCTGTAACGTAGAGCAGGTTCGGGTTCTCAGAGGTCTTGGAGCCATCCAGCCCGGGGTTAACCGCTGCAAGTTACTCTGCGTGAAGCACTTCGATATCCTATACAAGGACTGCACAACTGCAAGGTACGGTTCAGGGACTTCTCTTTAATATGTAACGGTTCACATGGTTCAGGGACTTCTTTTTAATATGTAACGGTTCACGCGGTTCAGGGACTTCTCTTTAATATGTAACTGTAACACGGTTCGGGGACTACTCTTTTTTATATAACTGCAATTTGTGGTACAGAAAATTCTCTTTATTCCATAACTGCAACACAGTTCAGGTTCGGTTCAGGGACTACTCTTTGTTATTTAAAAAGGGGTATAGTTCAGGGACATCCTTTTATCCTATAATTATTGACAAGAAATAAAAATTAAACAGATGCTTTCAAGGAATAGTGTATGAATTTATCTGAATGTGCAAGGGGACTGCCCATATTGTTTGACATTTGATATAAATATGTTTTTTCCACAAGGTGTTTTATAGGTGGGTTATTTATGATCAATCACATGGCAGTGATTTTTTATTTATGAAGTTAATGAATTCAAGACTGGGGAAATTTTAATTATTATTTTAAATAAAATCACTGGGTAGTTTGAGGGCCGAAATGAATAAAATGACTGGTGGGACTAATTATTCAACCAAAATTTATTTAAGAATTATGTAATAATCAGAGCTTTGTTCCGAATTTAATAGGCACTGAGACTAGGCATGATAGTTTAGAAACAATTTGTCTTCATCTGGCAGTTACAAATATTTATTAGTTTGATATTCTTCCCGTTTTTTAAAATGATTTTGATTGAAATAAGTAGATTTTTTATATGGCACATAATTTTTATGGAATATTTAACCCGTTTTTCATTAATGTAAATATGTTTGACAAAACTTGAAGATTATCGACTGACCAGTAATATCATATTTATTATATTGTAATTTAAAATATTAATTATGATAATCATAATAATAAATAAGAAAGACAGGAAAAAAACAATGATGATTCAAGGCAAGTAGAAAATGAGGAGAAAATGGTAAAAAGTTCCTGACATTTAATCACGATCTTAACATATTTACTTTAACATTGAAGATTTAATGATTAGAAGGAAAATAAAATGTTTGGAAAATTATTTACTGCTTTCTTAATAGCGAATATATTGGTAAACCTAAAGGCAGTTTCCTTGGCATAAACTGTAGACACATATTGCAAAAATGCGTATAGAAAATTCACTCCATAGATTAGAAAAGTACTCTTCTGGTCAAATATCCTATAGGTATTTCATTTGATCGGCTTATGCCACTCATAAAAGGGGATAAATGACTATCAAAATGTTTTTCTCAATTTATTTTGTTCAGCTTATTTTTGTTCCAAAATGTGTGCATGTAATGAAAAATTCGTTTCTTAACATTCATTGTCTGTGCAAAAACATTACCGTTAATGACTATTATAATGCGGCCAACTAAATATTGAAATGATTGTAACGACCAGAGCCGCTTATAGTAATGCTGAGTAAAAATTCAATGCCTCAGCCATTACAGTATATAGGATGATTATACTAACAAGGATAAGCCCATCAGCCATGTAGTATATAGGATGGTTATTTTAACACGGATAAGCCCATCAGCCATAAAGTATATAGGATGGTTATTTTGACACGGATAAGCCCATCAGCCATAAAGTATATAGGATGGTTATTATGACACGGATAAACCCCCTGCCATACAGTATAGGATGATTATTCTGATATGGATAAGCCCTCAGTCACACCGTATATGATGATTATTCTGACACGGTTAAGCCATCAGCCATACAGTATAGGATGATTATTCTGATATGGATAAGCCCTCAGTCACACCGTATATGATGATTATTCTGACACGGATAAGCCCCCTGTCATACAGTATAGGATGGTTATTCTAACAAGGATAATCCCCCTGCCATACAGTGTGGGAATGTACTTTTAACAGAGAAAATGTATGCTCCAGATACGAGTTGTTTTGTGCCATGCTTGATTTCCTTCGAATATGAACAGGCTTGGGCGAAGCACTTGAAATTAAATGCAAATAAATTGAAAAAATTTAATTCTTGTGTGAAGTAAAGTTAATTAATGCAAATAAATTGCAAAAATGAAACTTTATTGTGAAGGTTCTCATTCATACGTACGGGGTTTTAGGGCCGTACAAAACGAATGTTTCATTCAAATACATTATATTTAACTCTCTTCTCAATTCCATCTTTTAGCTGCTTAATCGGTCAATTGCTACATATATATGCGTTCAAACGATGCAAAATTGATTTATTTTAATTTCCCATCCTTTATTAGGCATGCTGGATTTTAGGATATTTTCCGAAACTATTCTCCCAATATACAACATTAGTCTTGGATTTCCGAAATTATTGATCGTTTACCCTCTTACAAGAAGTAAATGTTGAAAGGTATATTTAAGTAATTATTAGCTTGTATTCATTCTGTGCCAGTGTGTGTGCATTATATGTCCAAACTAACAAGTATTCATGCCAAACTTCATGTGAACATAATAACTATCCTGTTCTGTATTGTTATGGATGATAATGATTATACTATTATATAATATCATTAATTTACATCTTGATAATATTATTATTATAAATATCGCGTAGAATAAATCCTATAACATTATTTTCATGCATCATAATAATAAGATATCAATTATTATATTATAATATCATCATTATTATTATAATCAGTCGTTATTGATTGATTATATTATTATTATTATAAATATTCTGCAATATTGTACACAATATACTATATAAAATCATTATCATGCATTATCGTGATCCGATAATGATCATATTATATAAGATCATTGTCATGCATTATTTAGCTCAGATAACGATCATATTATATAAGATCATTATTAAGCGTTATCATGATCCGATAATGATCATATTATATAAGATCATTATTAAGCATTATTACGCTCAGATAATTATCATATTATATATGATCATTATAAAGCATTATTACGCTGATATAATGATCATATTATATATGATCATTATCAAGCATTATTACGCTGAGATAATGATCATATTATATAATATCATTGTCAAGCATTATTACGCTCAGATAATGATCATATTATATAAGATCATTATATACCATATGATGACAATTGAGCTACACACGTGTACCTGACACCGCTTGTTCCCTCTCACATGTCGCATCGCTCGGTCGCGCAGCTATCGGTGAGCTATAAAAACAACTTCGCTTGTTAAAACAAATATAATCTATAAATTCATAATTAATTCTATCATAAACAATTTTATGCATTTTTAGTTACATGGCGTTCGACCCAAGGACATTATCACAGCAAGGAGTTATTATCACTTAAATTTACAATTATATTTTTCGTTTGTATTTGCAATAGCAATAATTTTTCAAATAAAGATATTCCGTTTGACTTATTAAATTTTTTTTATAAAGTTGCGGCAAAATTCTAATTGTAACTTTAAAAACTTCGGTATAAAGTTATTTCCGAAGAAGTTGAAAGTTTTTCACCCAGCTACTCTATGGGAATAGAGAAGCTGTAATTATCCTGGTATTTAATTTTGAGAAAGTTTGGCGTGGGAAATATGAAAATTATTACAAGTTTAATATACTTAGCATATGAGAAAGATAAAATTGGAATATTTAAGCTAAATCTTGATTATTAACAGTTTTTTAAATAACACAATATATATGTAGCTAGATTTTATTATTTTTTTATTTCGTCAATGCAATATTGGGTTCACGGTATTTGTGGGCTGAAATAAGGGACATGTACATCGAATAGTCATGAGGCCGTGTAATTATCTAATGTGATCATTAGACCAATTAGGCATCATAATTAATAATGGGACGATTTAGAGTATCTCATGTAATTTTTCTCGGATGAATTTTCACTTGTAGTATAGTAGTATATAAAATGCTTCATTTTATACTATATCTATTAAATATGGTCAAATATTAACGGAATAAGCGTACCATAAAAATTATCCCGGAGGTTCCAATATGGAATGGCGAAATCAGTTTGGCGGGGGTCGTTGGTCGAAACCGAAAATACATTTTTTTCATATCAATAAGCTCAATCAATCAATTTTTTCATTCCTTGGACCTCGGATGGATTTCCGCTCATCATATTAATTTCATTATCTTAGAGGCAGATATTGACGATTCGATGACGTAAAACTTTCATTACTTACACCGACGGAAAGCAACACTCAGAACAATAAGCATGTATTATTATACATTAAATGACACAAACTTTTACCCAGTTTTTACCCAGAGTAAACGTAGCATTTATAAGCCCCTTTACCGGGCCAAATGGGTCAGTAACACACACTAGCACAAAAGTGCATCGATATTTGGACAAAGCTTCACTCATTTCTCCGTGTGAAGCCTAGGTAGCGAAGTCTGAGTGCGTCAGGTCGGTTCTTGTGAATGTAATAGGGCGAGTGAAGCGACCCAACGGAGCGTAATTCAGTTAGCTCTTCACTTGATAGCCTGACGACGGTAGAGACGACCTGGGTTCCTTGGGAGACTCACCGTGATGGCCTATGGAAGGAGGTTTTCACTGCTGCTCCTGTCCTCTAATATGACTTAACTGGCCCACGCTTCTATATATATATAGAGAGACGTGTACAGATCTGGGCCTATACTTTCAAAAAAAAAAAGTTAAAACATCGTAAGTTCATCAGCCAATTATTGACTGCCTTTCAAGCAAAATCCACCAATCATAGACAAGAAATTAGAGCGTAAGTACTTACGTTCACTTAGCCAGTTATGAAAGTATGGCCCCAGATAAGTTGTTACTGAACTTGCGTACGTGGCAATAACGCTGGCACAACCTTGGCAGGTTAATTGATGACGAGAGATATTTGTTGCCGAAATAAATACATTAGTTATGATTATACAGTGCCTGCAGTAATAATCCTAGAGATAGTGTACATACGGTAGCTGTGGAGACCGTATGTACACTTAGAGAAGTTTGCAAAGCTTGTTTGCGTTACATTGACGACATATTCATGATGAAAAATTGATTTTGACTTTTCCACAGTGATGTTCTTCTCCTTGCATTGCATTCAATCATTGAAACAATCAATAAACTTATATAATCATTAATTTCTCATTAGCCGAGTCTAAAATAACGGCCATGTCATCCGTAGTTCTCGTCGTTTCTAAATTTATACATCACACATTAAAGAGTATTTTACTATGACTTATTCATAGGAAATCCAATACAGTGAATAAATTGTAGGGAAATAGATGATTGCGTAAGAGCTGTGGGAATGAAGTCATTATTATTATTATTACTATTATTATTATTATTATTATTATTATTATTATTATTATTATTATTATTATTATATTCTTAACATAGAAAAGGGTATTTTATTATGACCTATTCATTAGAAATCCAATACAGTGATCAAGTTGTAGGGAAATAAGACAGATGATTGCGTATGAATGAAGTCAGACACCGCACGATTGTCTTGGCTTATTTGCATTTTGAATGCCTCGCATTAGGCGTAAATGTCGTTTATGCAGGGGAGCTCCTATACAGCCACGCCTGGTGGGATTTTTTCTCATTTTACCAGCATTTCAAACAGTTATAAACACGTAAAATATTCAAGTGTTAAACACGTAATGTAATTACGTGTTAAACACGTCATATAATTACGTGTTAAACACGTCATATAATTACGTGTTAAACACGTCATATAATTACGTGTTAAACACGTAATATAATTAAGTGTTAAACACGTAATATAATTACGTGTTAAACACGTAATATAATTACGTGTTAAACACGTAATATAATTAAGTGTTAAACACGTAATATAATTAAGTGTTAATCACGTAATATATATAATTAGAGGATATGACAAAAAAATCTAGAGCAATGTTAACTGCTGTAATTCTAACGGATTTATTTGAAGGTATTAAATTTGTCGTTTGAAATAAAAGTTGTATCTTTTATTACTGGTGTAATACGAGGTTCAAATGATGCTAAAATACCTCAAACCCAATTGGGTTAACAGTAGTGTGCAAACCACGTCGAATTTATTAGTGTAAACTTTTCAATAATTATTTATTCGACTTCTTTTGAATTACTCTTGAAAAATTTCTAGCTCTTGGATTGAGTTTTCGATTTCTCGAGCTGCTCAAAGTTAACATATTTGATTTATATTTACTGGCAGTACAAATTGTTTACCTTGCAGTAATGGTTTTTGATTTGAACTGGAAAATTTCCCGCGATATTATCGTGCAGATTCATCGAGATGAATTTCTTGCTCTTTATTACTAATTATAGGAAATTTATTTTATTATTATATTATTTATTTTTATTATATTATATTATTATTATATTATTTATTTATTATTATATTTAAAATGTCAATAAATTATAGGAAATTTATTGACATTTTGAGCAGCAGTCAGCATTTATATAATACATAGACATGCTAAATTGGAAAATCCACAAGAAATTGTGCATTATATAATTATTATAAAAAGCCACAACGTGCCAATATTTTAAATAAATTAATCAATACCGAAAATCAATTATAAAAGCCATTAAAGAATAGTGATAGAAATTAGCGACTTCTTTGCTTTTTCTCTTTCCTCATAATCATTTGAATGAAATAAATGGATGTTGCTCAATCCTCAAAAGTCTTTGAATATTTTATTTTATTATTAAAAAAGCTGTTTCCTGAAAATTTGTGACGTAAGTCCAATTGATTACCAATTTAATCAATTTCGCGGAGTACATTGTATTTCCATTTCGCGAGTGAACATAAAAGTTATACAAAGCTTCGTAGTTCGGTCCAATAAATCTAAAATTATACTTATTCTTCCACTATTGCTCCTGTTAATGCAAAAGGCCTTCAAGTTTGGATATTTAATGTTATGGATATAGTTTCCACTTAGCAATGTTATCCCGATTGCTAAAAGAATCCTGGATATTTAATGTTATGGATATAGTTTCCACTTGGCAATAATATCCCGATTGCTAAAAGAATCGTTTTCTCTGGTTCAGTCTAATAAATCTGAAACTATACATATTCCTCAACTATTGCTCCTATTAATGTAAAAGGCCTTCAAGTCTGGATATTTAATGTTATGGATATAGTTTCCACTTGGCAATGTTATCCCGATTGCTAAAAGAATCCTGGATATTTAATGTTATGGATATAGTTTCCACTTGGCAATAATATCCCGATTGCTAAAAGAATCGTTTTCTCTGGTTCCAGAAGGCGGGACAGGTTATCTTCCTTCCTCAATGAAAGGTTTGAACATTTCTCTGTCTTTTCCACCTTCGAAAATTCTTTTAAATTAGTTTGAGTTCTTGCCAGTTCATTTGCTATGGCTGCTTTTACTTGGATTTTTTTTAAATAACAGATCTAAATTTTTTTTACTGATCTCAAAAATTTTTACACAATATTTGTTAGTTTATTGTTGCGCTATTTACAGGAATGCTAGAATCTCCCATCACTAAAATCCTGAAGTCCTTTAATTTTACTTATAACTTTGATTCTTTGTTTCAGTGCACTGCTTGATATTACGTAGATACTTAGTTAATTATGATATGAGCTTGTTTAGTGCTTCAATTAGTCTCCTTTATGCATCATGTCAAACTGTTTTCAAAAAGAAGTTTTTCAGCTTAATTAGCAAAATTTTCTTTAGCTGAGCATGCAATCGACATAACAATGCACTGTGGATTTTTTAAAGGCAAGTCACACAAAAAATTTCCACTTCACTGCACTTAGAAATTTCGTTGATGATTTGCTCCTAATTAAAAACATTATATGGCTGCTGCTTCTAAAAATAATTCTGCCCAATTTAGAATGGTCTCACGGCTGAGTTTTCCATAGAAAAAAGGATTTAAACAAAAATTTTTCCATATTGCATCTCTGTCAAATTAATGGCTATGAAGTTCACCATATTTCAGTCGTCAAAAATTTAAATGCTACTTCGATTAACACATTCTTCATTCAAATTTTCAAATATGTTTATAAAATATAAATGAATAAAAAATTAATACACTATAGAAAATTTGGTTTCACGTTTGAAACCGAAGCTTGTTTCTTTGATGCTTTCACCCGATCCATTTCAGTAATTAATTCGAAAGTAAATAAAATTCAGCTGTTAAAATTGATGAGAAGCTTTTACAAATAAAATTCCAATAAAATCACATAGCGACTGCAAGCTGCATATTACTGAGTGTAAAAAACCCACTCACAGTGAAGGTATTTTTACAGTAACTTTACAGGAGTTAACTGCTCGCTTGAAAGAATAGGAAGTAAAGACCAGCACCAAATCAGGTCGGTATTCAGAGAGAGCTGTTAGGGATAACAAAATTCTCGAAAACGACTGATGAAATTCCTGGAAATACACTGGGTCTCTGGGCCATTCTAGGTGTTGATTACCAACGCAAAACTATTGTTTAGATTTGAATTTGCCCAGACTTGGATCATGACGGACTTCTGTTCGGGTGTGAGTGGTTGAAAAATAAACCTTCTCCCACTTTCGACGTTTAAATCAATTTGAGTTAGGACTACAACATGGGAATGTCAGAGCTTTGTTTCAGATCACAATCAATATTAACTTCTACGCTTATTGCTAGTAGTTTTCAAATAACGTACGGTATCTTTTTTAAATTTCAGATTCTTTTCATAATGAATGAGTGTAAGTTTTTTTCTGAAATGCTTCATGGTATTCTATGAAATAACGTCAGTGCTACAATTTAGTCTCGTGCTAGATGGGGATTTAGAAAGCTCTCTGGGAAGTTTATAATGGCGAAACTGACCAACGAATGAATAAAATATCTTCATCTACTTAAAAACGTACGTAGTCGTATCTATTATAGACTTTCGTTTCATAACATTCCTGAACAAAATTCAATGAATTGAATTCATGCACTGTATATAGGCTCGATTACTTTGTATTAAGCGAATCAATTATTCTTTAAAGATATTATTATAAAATTGTCTCAGGATTTTGAAGTTAAAGTTTTAAGTTAATTATTGAGGTTTGAAGTAATTATTTATTCGGCTGCCTCATCGTATGTATGTTGTCACGTCGCGCTCTCGATAAAGAACTCTCGTGATCTCTGCAGCGTCAGGCTCGACTGGCAATAATGGCTATGCGGGGAAGCAATCTAGCCTTGGTGGCATTTCACGCGCCTTTCTAATGGGGCACTTGCTTTAAGCTTCCCTGAAATATCTGAATGAAATGCCAATTTTAGTGGCATGATCGCATTGAGTTGGTATTTGCGGTGTCGGGGCCAAGAAACACGTCGGAACGACGACGCAGAATCGGTGGCGCCGACACGGAAGAAAGATTCCACGGACCGTCAGAGGGCGCAGCGATTATTCTCGAGTTGGCTCAAGAGTTGCTGTGCTTTACCGGTAGCTCGGAACGCATCTCAACGCGTTACGCAAACAAGATAACCAACTGCGGCACTAATTTTCGTCTGCTGACAACTCTACAACTCTCGGGTGATTCATGGTCGCGCTACCGCCGCGCGCTGCCGCGACCCGATCGAGAGCGCCTCCAACACGCGAATTAAACTAGGCTTCTAGTATGTTTGTCATACTTGGTTTGTAGGGTTTTCAAATATGTTGATCTATTATATTACTTATAAATGTGAGTAGAATTTACAATTATATTAAAAAATAATTGATTATGAAGCTATTTATAGCCAATCACACGAATAAAACTAGGCTTCTCGTATGTTTGTCATTCTTGGTTTGTAGGATTTTCAAATATGTTGATCTATTCTGTTACTTATAAATGTGAGTAGAATTTACTATTAGGTTCACGAATGATCGATTATGAGGCTATTTATGGACACTCGGCAAACAACTGCTGAAGGATCGAATTACATGTTGAATCAATCTAAGCTTTCAGTAACTAATTCAGTAAGTGATGAAACCCCTGTATTAATACTGATGTATGTGAAAAATTTTCAACGAGAACTAAAGCACTAGGACGTTAAGTAAAATACTATAATTGATTCACTAGCCGCACATCAATTCACTATTACGCATATATTGTAATCAATCGAACTGAATTTCCGAATTCACGTCCGTATATACCGTCATTATTATAAAAGTGTTTATTTATTAGCTTAATTTGTATTTGTGGCAATTCGTTTGTGTTTTTGTTGGAAGCATGGGACCATAAATATAAATTTTAGCAGGGGAATCATGAGGCAACACAAAACAGGAGATTAAAAGTTTGAATGAAAAAGATTTCTATTTATTGCTCCAACATAGTACATTGAATTTTATTTAAAAATATGGAATTCTAATTTACTTTCATAGAAAAGATAAAATTTGGTGGACAGCATTTTATTATCTTTTTGATTTTCATTTAGCTTTCAATTTTTATTCTAAAAAATTTTATTCCGTGTGTATAGTTCACATTGTGGCGGGTGGAACTGTATGGCGCAAAAGCGAGACTCCATAGCGGTATATCAAGTTGCGATTGCATCAAAGTATCTTAGCGAGAAATCTTGCTTTATGAGCCTAGCGAGAAATTCTCCGATAGTTTGACAGTTGGTTCAGGAGGAGAGGTGGCCGGGGCGACATTGCAAGAATTTATGGGGCAGGTGTAAACATGGAGCACGAGTGATGGCAATAAATACGTGCAAGTCTCGTATAATACGAGACTTGTCTCGTATTATACGAGATAAATGCGATAAATAATACGAGGATAAATACGTCTCGTATAATACGTGCAAGTGCACGTATTATACGAGACGTACGTTCATTGTGTGCGTACGACATACTGCTTATTTGTCGGTCACTCGTTGAATAATATAGTCGAATTGCATTGAAACAGTCAAGAGACTGGTAGAATAACTTGATGTGAAAGTATTAAGAAACTTTTGATGGTCATAAGTTGAAAAAAATGTATTGCCTTTTCATTATGAGTATATTTTTATTCCTAAAAATTTGTGTTTATGAGTTGGTATGAAAAATTTCCGTATATCGTATTTGAAACATGTGCATTCGGATATCGTTTTTGGAGCTATAAAAAAATGTGCATTTTGAAGTGAAAATAAATAATTCAGCAAAAAATCATTTAAACATTTATATTATAATTTTGTTTCCCTCTAAATTGACTTGATAAGCATCAAGCCTTGTTTCTTTGTGATTAAATTTTTCCGAAAAATATCTAATTCGGAGGCTTAATAGTTAAAGAAGCTAGTTCATCAATGTCCGATGTTTCGGGTCAAAGCTTCGGTCTACTATTGGCATTATGTAGTTGCCGACTTCGGCATATCGGTTTCGAAGTTAGTTTCCGCTTTACGGATTTTATTATCTCAATTACCTGTAACACATTATCGATTTCTGATCGAGAAATATGGCAGGAAATATATTTCTAAGTTTTGACTTAAATTGAATCATTGAATGCCAATAATTTAATCCCGATAGCACGGTGGTTTTGATCCTCTGAAGAATTACAAAGGGCAAAAACATAGGACGTAAATTGTTCTTACTCCGACTAAATAACTTCTAAGTATCAGTTAACATTTACTTGATATTCAACTTTATCACTTATGCATGATTGAGTCTAAGTGCACATTATATCTAAATTTCAGATACATTTTTGGGTTAGAAATAAATTGGTACGAGATGTTTGCCACACCGGTCACTCAACTTCATTAAGCTCTCCATAAACGATTTGGATAACAAACCTTGGTTAAAATCATAAGATGTCCTGCATCACTCATAATTCCATGCATTATACTCATCTCCATCCTTGAACTAGACAATTTTGAAGAGCAGCTCGCCATCTTGAATTCGCACTAACACTTGAGACTGTCACATTCGCTGCCGTCTTCCATACGTCAGTGGCCCACCTTCCCACTTATTATCATCGGACCTCCTCTATAAGTACATCCTTCCACTCGGCCTATATATCTGGCACGGAGATATAATTATTAGAGGCGAGCATCTATGTTAATACACAGGCAACAGGCCCGTGGCCACTTGCGCTTGTACCCAGCGCATAGTTACGCAGCGCGAAGCTTGAAGCGTCGAAGATGTTTCTGTTGACGCGCCGAAACGTTATCAAGCATCGAACAACGTTGAAGTAAATTAATCATAAAGCCTGCTGATGCACAGTTTATAATGTTGTTTTCAAGTCACTTAGCTGTGAATGATATTTTTTACATCGAGTATTAAAAATGATTCACCAAAGTTTTATGTTGAGCGAATCAATGTAATACTCTTTACTGATGTGCTTAATTTTACATTCTTTTCTTAGTTACTCAATATGTATCGCACTTTCAACGTTCTTTTGTAACATAGGTCAGGATAATTTGCTCATTA